TCCGTATCCCGCCTCCCGCAGCCTCCGCCATGGGTCCCGAAGCGTTGCAGAAGAAGTTCGAAGACGAAGTTGAGACTTATAAGAAATTACAGAAAGGTGAATTATGTTTGAGAGAATTGGGGATTATATAGCGTATGTTGAGGCTTGGGTAGGATAGTAGCTTAGGAGGTGAGAGGGAAAGAAGAGTAACAGGAGTGGGGTGTTGACGCCCATGTGTGCGTGGGAGGAAGGGGTTGGCTTTTTTTAGTCTCACTTCGAGGACTAACGCGTGGAATTTCATGAGAAGGGTGTAAGGAACAAGCTGGTTAGGCAAAGGTGTTGTAGTTTAGGTCAATATGTAGAAGAAGGTAGTGGGTTACTTTCGAAATAAGATTGATATTTTTTCTGCAAGAAATCCACTGCTTTCAACGATTCTAGGCATTGCTCCTTGTGCAAGTGAATCGTTGAGGAGATATGATCACCATCTCCATTGGCAATCTTGATTTGATAGTCCAGATAGCAGGGGAGGGCATGAAGTACATCAGGGAAATTATGACAAACAAAACGTCCTGACCCGACATCCAACCTAACCTAACACCGTGGTATATATTCCCTAGCAAGGGGGCTCTGCCACCTGGATCCCCGTGCTAGTATATGCAATTAGCCAGGGGCCTACACCCCCTGGACACCTGTGGTAATACATATTTTTTCAGATTTCTACTTCATTTATTGGGATTTTAGACTTGTGTTGTCTTTAGGCCCTGGAGCCTCTTTATGGTTCGGTAAGTGTCACCGAGAGTGACGTTCTCTCCAAAGACAAAGCCCCAAAACTAGATTTTCTTTGGTATTGTTGGACTTGATGCCAAACACCTTACATACTAGTACCACATAGTAGAACACAGTAGAACACATCATTCTATGAAATTTTTCTTCTGTATCATTTTCTTTGTAAATTGATAATAATGGAAAGAAGCTGTAAAATCTGGGAAAATGCAGCAGCCTTATGCTCCCAGTGCCACAACAAAATGACAAAAAATCATTGCAATGTGATGTGGAATGTGATGTGACCATAGACAGTGATGTCCAGCACAATAGAACCAATCAGATGTGAAATGGATCATCCCGTTACAATAGAAGCTGGGCCTAGAATAAGGTGGTTGAAATTCAAATCTGTTCCATCATGGCTAAGCAGTATTTCCAGTGTGATAATTAGTATTTCATTTCCATGCAAAATATCATTGAAATAACGATGTGAGTTTATTATACCCACAAAATCATGGTGTACTGCCTGTAGATGTAATGTGTCTGAACAGTAGGACACTGTGTCATTACAGAAAAGATAGACACCATTCAGTCAGTTCTTCATCTAGGCCGCGAAACTGAATCCTCCGCCAGCTGATAAGGAACGGCAGAGAGCGATCACAATTCCTGCCAAGAAAAACCTGGAAGAGTCTCAGATAATGCTTGAGGTTAGGTGTGGGAAAAACTTTTACTGGGTCTAGGTTCTTTCGTGCCGGAACATATGAGGTGAAGATTTTTTTGACCAAGCGGGATGGTGGGTGGAGCAACTCCCCATAAAAGGGGGTTTAAGAGAGCAAAGATCCCTGTATCACCTAAAACAACTTCATCATTTTGTTGCTTGCTTGGGCTCTATCCTGCTGGAACATATAATGTGAAGATTTTGTAGACCAGGTGGGAGGTGTTTAAAGGGGAGAAGCCCCACATATAACCTGAAAGCGAGTGGATATATTATGGTCTCCTGTTCGTTACCAATCTTTCTCAAAATCCCCCCCCCCTCCCCCCTCAGATTCCCTGATATGTATCATGCCCTTCCCACCTATCAGGACCGATATTGTAGCTGTGTTTCATTTGTTTCATTTTTATACTTTTTGTAAAATGTCTACACATAGATGGCTCTGCCTTACCTGATTTAATTTGGTGGGAAAATGTATTTTTTACTAGTGCTATCAATATTGATGGTTATTTTTATTATATAAATGTATATATGTATGTATATATGTATGTATGTATATATGTATGTATATATGTATGTATATATGAATAATCTTCATGGTATGAATACACTAAGTTGTAGAAATTGAAGATGATATGTATGTAGTGGACAGTTGCAGTTGATGGTACACAAAATAATCAACTGAGACAAATGGTAATACCATAAATAAAGGAAAAAGATAATGGAAAGTGCCTCTCACTGCCTAAGTTCACTTGGTAAACCCAAATATCAGCTCAGTCTTGCATATCTTGCATATTTAGGGGAGTCTCCCCCCCTTTACCCCATCATCCATCCCCTTAGACAGTGCCAGAAGGGCACACCCAGTCACAGCAGCTTGAATTGTTGAATAGATTTTGTGACATGGAGTTGCATCTGAACTTTAGTGGTTCCAGGATTTATACAAAGTGTTCTTCTGTTTCTTCTTGACTTCTACACTATCTGCAACCCAACCAGGGCCCTAGGAGGTTTGGTGGAGCTAATATTGGTGTATATTTCTTGCAAGTTTTACCAAGGATAAGTCGTTGCCCATAGATTTTACAGTTGTACTGGTCAATTCGAAATGTTTTTTTTTTTTTAGTGTTTTCTTTTTTTTTATTCTGCATTCTATTTCAGTCTATTTTACCCTATAATTTCCCTAATATACTTTATGCCTTCCCCTAAACTCAGGACTATCATATCAAGATTATTTGCTGTAGACTATGTGATGTTGGACCAATCAAAATTGCTATGCATTTTTAATTGAAAAATATGGATATTGGTCTTAGAAAGCCTTACCATTAATTTTGTTTTTAATTGTCTTAGCTACATATTTTCTTGTTTTTGTAATGCTTTTATCTTTGTCTTAATGACATTTTATTTGTTAAAGCTTGTAAAGCTGCTATAGATGCAGATTTATCCCATTGCTAATGGGTTGTCTGTTGCTCCTTGGAAATATAGACAGGTGCTTGTGTGTTTTGTCTGGATCTCAGCATTTGCAGCAGGGCTGGCCCTCCCATTTTGAGAAGTTTCAATGTGCTGTCTATGTTTACAGAAAATTGTTGCAATAATTTTTTGCTATATGTTACTGTTTGGAAGCTTGTCATAGCTATATATTATGTCTTATGAAGAACATTATTGACTTGTAATATATACTTCATATTACTAGATGTGTAACCATTTAGCTACTGCTATATCTGATGATTTACCTTGAAAGTAATCCTCAAGGATCTTATTGGGATCTCTCTCACATTAGAGTACTTTCTATTTATTTATTTTTTGTTTTTATTCTTATTACATCAGTGATATTTGAATTTTTGTCCCTGATGTTCCTATTTTTTATATTATATACTTCAAAGGCGTATGTTTATTTCTACAAGGAATATTTTTACATAGGGACAGCCTGAATAAAGACTAGATGCTGGCTGCTGCAGTTTACTTTCCAGGTTCACGGTTTTCTTATTTCATGTAATGGTCTTATTTGGATAAATCATATACCTCAAATCTTATTGCTTTCCCAGTTCCAGGCACTCATAGTGTGTTATCTTTGCAATATTTGTAAAACAGAGACTTGTGTTTCAGTGTTTGGGACAGCTGCTAATGTTTGTAGTTTGTCTGTGTAGTGCACTTTTGTCTCTTCATTTGGCATTAGATTTGAAAACTTGTTTCTTTTCACCAGTTTTGAAAGTGGCTCTTTTCCATTTTCTGAGTTCTTCATTTTGTCTTATTTTTGGACCTGTATTTAATTTCCTTGTTAGTACCAGGTTCTTCTCCAGGGCAAACATTAATGGTTGACATTGTTGAATTTTTTTGAAGTCTAGTATTAACCAGATACTGCTGGTGATAGCAGGTATGTGTTGAGTAGTGTGTTTATAGCCTGTATTTTCCTTTACAGATCTGACCAAGACCAATGGCTTGCGTTCCCAGCTTGATGGACAATTGAATGAAAATAAAGTAGTTAAAGAGGTAAGCACTATATAGTGAAGGCTATTCTTATATTCTGAGACTTATTATTTGTGGAGTTTGAATAAATTAAAATGCAGATATATGATATTTATTTGTTTATTAATTTAGCTGTTTGATTATTGTATGTATGCATTTTCTTGCACACTACTTGAATCATTGCTAAATGTTTTGTAAGCACCGGGTATTAAGTTTTCCTTAACAAGACCATCAAGAACTGTAAGAACTGTAAAAGTAAAAAAGAGAGGAAAAAATAGCATTGCTGTTTATGTCTAACTCCTTTCTTGGCTCTAAACTTATCTCCTCAGTCCTGGTTATTAACTTCAACACATAGTGTTATAGATGAACTGACAGATGAAAAGATAATATGTGTGTGTGGGGGGGGTATAAGTTTATATGTCTATGTATCTACATTTATAGGCCTACATATACATGTATATATGAAGGCATGCAAATTCAATGAACTGAAGTTGCATTTATTAAATGTTTTGTTAATTTAAACATTCATCTGGAATATAAACATTGATATAGTCACTTTAATGCACTCTTAATAATTTAAGTGCATTAACATGAACATATCGAAGCTTATGATATAAATGAAAGATTAAATTAATAAAGCATTAATAAAGCTCTTCCAGTCATAGCTCATGGATCATATATTCCACATTTGTTTATCAATGGAAATGATGCAAAAGCCCCATCGTAAATGCCAAATGAATCAAAGCCTCGAAGAACCATTGGGTTAACCCAATGCCGCTGGGGAAAATGAACAATAAATGGGGAAAATGCTATGCCCACTTTCTATGTTTTTTGTGAAATGTCTGCCGATAGATGGCTCTGCTAGCGCCTGATTTGAAATTGTGGGAAAAAACGTATTTTTCGCTAGTGCTATAAAAATCAAGTGTTATTTTTATCATAAACATTATAATTGTTATAATTCTTTTTTAACATTAGTAACCGCAAAATAAGATAATGTAAAATATTTCGTAAATCAATGAAAAGGGTAAACGGGCGAGACGGACGGTACTCGTAACTGGCTCATTGGGGACTTGGTACAAGTGTTGCCATCTATGCGTAAAAACAATCAAACAAGCACTCATGGTGGGCATAGCACGTACATACACGTCATACCCGTCGGCATTGGGTTAAGAATCTTTTCATATAATCATGTACAGTTTATAATATTCATTATATAGTACATCAAAAAAAAAAAAATAGAAACTGACAGTTGGTTGTTAAAATGTAATAACATATTACTGCCCCAAATGCAGAACATTGTAGTTTACACTAAACTATAAAATGGTGGTAAATTGCAGTATATCATAGTCATGCATTCCAGAAACTATAACCCATTTTTGATGGGATGATGTTCAGTAATATGGCAGACTATCCCTTGTGCCAAAATCATGTTGTCATACCATTTGTAGTTGAGCCTGCCCCAGGTTGTGTTTACTAAACAGTAGTGCACTTGTTTGGCCCAGGCCGTTGTCACTGAGGAGATATAGTCCCTCAAAAGAGAGCTTTAAGCCTCTTAAAGAAGGAGAATAGAGAGATAGATGATTTTAGAGTTCCTTCACTGCAATATTTTTGTTTGGCTGGTGACTTTAGCTGCATCCTGACACATGTTTCTGTAAAGTGCAGGGGTCCTTTCATGGCATTATTGCAAGTTATGATAAGCATTGGATTAATGAAAGGTGGTAAATTTCAATATGATATTTTACAGAAAATTAGAGTGTTGTGAGTACAAGAAACTTGTTATTAACCCATTCGCCACGGATTTATGTTCTGTCCCCTGTTGGTTTTGGTGAATTTTGCTACCTACAGATGGCTCCACATGTACTCAGCCGGCAAGGAGTCTATCAGTAGGCCCTAGTTACCGACCCTGATTTTCCCATTCATTGAATTGGCGGGAAAATTAATATCATTGCTTTCGATGCTGTTATTATTGTTACTGATGTTATGATGATTGAATTGTCATTAGAATATTTTTGACAATAAGTTGATACAAAAAACCCTTTCCGAAAGTGAAGGAAAAGGCTAAACAGGTGAAATAGGTAGTTCTTGATAACTGGCTATTTGGTAATTAAGAACTTGTATAGCTATCTATGTGTAAATACAATAAATAAACGTGTATCAAAGTGGGTATGGCATCTATTCTTGCCATCCGCGGCGAATGGGTTAAACAGTTAAAAGGCAAAACTCATGTTCATAGGCTTGGGCCATATGGTCTGCCAACCCTCCCCCTTGGCTGCTCTCTTCTGTATGCAATATATAGGCATGGAGTTTTATGGCTGTGGATCTTGGTGGAGCACCTAAACTCTACCTAAACCCAATTTTCAATGCTTGTATTGAAAAACAATTATTGTCTAGAGTAGTGGTTCTTAACCTGGGGTGTACCCTCCTAGGGGGGCTTCAGTATTTTCCAAAAGGTGTGCAAGCCCATGGAAAAAAGGCAATATTTTTTTCAGATTATCTTTGTTATTCTTTTAATGAGTGCAAGGTCACATAATGGAAAGTTTAGTTATAATGTCACTAATTCATACTTATTAAAAAGACTAACAAAACATACTTATAATTATCATTAAAATCTAAGAGGGCATTATTTACAGATGCAGGGGAGGTGTGGAAAGGACAAATTCCTAAAAGGGTGCTTGGGATTTAAACAGTTAAGAACCCCTGGTTTAGAGGCAAAGAGCAAAGAGAAAAAAATTATTCCTCCACTTCCATTTCTTCTATGGATGTCCTTGATATTAACCACATTTCTGAAGTTATTGCACTCCAATATGTTGGGGGTACCATAAGGTTATATTGGAAGATAGGTTTTCAACTTTTTTCTATTGAGGTTTAACTTTATTACTTTGTGTTTAAAAAAAAGGATGAAGCCCTATTATTAATACATTCTGAACTTCATAATTAGACATTGTAGACTATTTTTAAAACTTTGTCACTGTGAGGGGCAGTGCCATTGTAGGAAAACATTGATACCAAGGTGTGTTGTAATTCACATACGTGGAATATAGCTGGTAGGCACACACAAATAAAATAAAAGGGAGGGGGCACTGCAGGCAAACCATCAAAATACCTGTACCTTATGTGGAGATGAAACACATGTTCCCTTTAGTTGCCAAAGAAAGGGACACAAACTCAGCAGCCAGTGCCTGACTGGCTCTGCCCCTCAATTTGATGCATATTTTACAGCCAGAAGACTTATATACACTAAGTGGCACTGGGTAACTGGTTGATAGACTTAAATTAGTGTTTTTCTCTTTTTTTACCTTATTTTTTTCAAGTTCTCATTAGTTTCCCTAAGATTAGTTTTTACATTTGCACATTATAGATATTGAATACAGGTAATTTGTGTAGCTCAGCCTGATACAAAGGCAACTTCAAGATGTCCGCTAGAGTAAAAGCTACTGCTAATGGCTGCTCTGTTAGGCTTGATTCCAAGTTCCACACTGAGCAGTTATTGAAACTAAGGACTTGCACATCAGTATTGAAAAAAGAGGGAGTTGTTGAATACTTTAGATAGTGCCTATACTGTTTTGTGTCTTCATTGTCTTGAGGGGGAC